TCATTCTCTTTCCAAGGCCACTTCCAATGGTGAACTAAAGCTGATAGCATCCTTCCTACTCAGTGGTGGTACTCAGCCCCTGTACCATGCTGGGGACATAACTCACATTGTAGTCCCTGTGAGTGCCCTATCCTGGAGCCCAGAGAACACAACATGAAAGATGCCCCCTGGAGTTGTGCAAAATCTGTTGTCATGGCCAAAGAAGCAGTAACAGAAAGGCAGGCGTGAGTGCACCTGCTTCTTGGGGAAGCCAAAGAATTATTAAGGGAAGTAGAGCGATGGTTTTCAAAGTAGCCTCAGTAAAGTCTGCAGCTTTCAACCAAGGGCCTTAAGGACAATTGTTAATATGAGTCTCTGAGTTGCACTATGATTTTTTAAACATTTAGTCAAGTATTCTTAAGTACAATGTAAGACTTATGAAATTAATTTTATTCCCTAAAACTTTATTTCTTCTTGTCATAACATTTTTAAATATCATATATGAATACACGTAATCAGTATCCATATAAGGATTGTCTATGAGAAATTCTTTGTTTTCTATTTCTACTATAAATGTATTTTCCTCATATAAGAGTACTGTAACTAAAAGATAATTTTTATAGAAGGAAGAAATTGAGGAAGACAGGAAGAAAAGAGAAGAAGGAAGGAATGCCACCCACAGCCCTAATGATCTTACACAACCAAAGCCGAAATCTGAATTTTTTCTGCCTGTTGTTTTTCCACTCCAGAACCAATGTAAACCTACCAGCAATCTTACCATAACCCAGATCTTAGCATCATATCTTGGTGGCGTAGTATTCTTTTTATACGTTGTTGGATATGATTCGAATTTTTTTTGTAAATTTTTGCCTCTATGTTCATGAGAGATATTGATTTGTAGTTTTCATTTCTTGTAACGTCTCCATCTTGTTTTTGTAAGATAATAGTGACCTCATAAAATGAGTGAAATGTTAATTTGTATCTATTTTGAGAAAGAGATTGTGGAGAGTCGATTACCATTTCTCCCTTAAACATTTGATAGGATTCATCAGTGAAACAATCTGGGCTTGGTGCTTTATTTTTGGAAGGCTAATAATTGATTTAACTTTTAATAAGTATTATTCTATTTAGGTATTTATTTCTCTTTGTGTGGGTTTTGGTAGTTTATGTTTTCAAGAAATTAGTCCATTACATCTATGTTATCACATTTGTGGGTGTAAGGTTTTTATAGAGTTCCTTTATTATCCTTCTAATGCTCATGGGACTAGAGCTGATGGTTCCTCTTTATTTCTGATATTGGTAAAATGTGCCTTTTATTTTTCTTGGTTAGCTTAGCTATTTGTTTATCAATATTAACCTTTTCAAATAACCATATTTGTTTTCATTGATTTTCTCTATTGTTTTTCTGATTTGGATTTTACTGATGTTTGCTTTATTTCATTTTTTTTATGCATGCCTTAGTTATGAACCTAGTTTCCTAAGGTGGAGGTTTAAATGATTGATTTTAGATCTTTCTTAGTTTCTACATGTATTTAATGCTATAAATTTCCCTGTAAGCACTATATTAGCTCCATTGCACAGATTTTGATAAATCATATTTTAGTTTTTATTTAGCTAAAAATAGTTAATTTCCCTTGAGACTTCTTTTTTAACCCATGTGTTACTTATAAATGTATTATTTAATCCCCAAATACTTTGTGATTTTTCTAGCTATCTTTCTGCTATTGATTTCTAGTTTAATTCCATTGTGATCTGAGGGCAGACATTGTATCATTTTTATTCTTTTTAATGTGTTGAGATGTGTTTTATGACCCAAAATGTAGTCTATCTTGATGACTATTCCATGCAATCTTGAGAAGAATGTGTAAGTCACCCAAAGATGTCCATTATATCCTTGATTGATGATGCTGTTGAGTTTAACAATGCCCTTGCTGATTTTCTGCCTACTAGATCTGTCCATTTCTGATAGAAAGGTGTTGAAGTCTCCAACTATCGTAGCAGATTTATCTGTTTCTTCCTAAAGTTCTACTTGTTTTAGCCTCACATATTTTTTTAAAAAATCATTTATTATACTTTAAGTTCTGGGGTACATGTGCAGATCGTGCAAGTTTGTTACATAGGTATACATGTGCCATGGTGGTGGTTTGCTGCATCCATCATTCCATCATCTACGTTATGTATTTCTCCTAATGCTATCCCTCTCCAATCCCCCCAACCCCTGCTATTCTTCCCCTAGCCCCCCACCCGCCAAGCCCCAGTGTATGATGTTCCCCTCCCTGTGTCCGTTTGTGTTCTCATTGTTCAACACTCACTTAAGAGTGAGAACGTGCAGTGTTTGGTTATCTGTTCTTATGTCAGTTTGCTGAGAATAATGGTTTCCAGTTTCATCCATGTCCCTGCAAAGGACATGAACTCATTCTTTTTTGTGCTGCGTAGCATTCCATGGTGTATATGTGTCACATTTTCTTTATCCAGTCTATCATCGATGGGCATTCGTGTTGGTTCCAAGTATTTGCTATTGTGAACAGTGCTGCGATAAACATATGTGTGCATGTGTCTTTATAATAGAATGATTTATAATCCTTTGGTTATATACCCAGTAATGGGATTGCTGGGTCAAATAGTATTTCTATTTCTACACCCTTGAGGAATCACCACACTGTCTTCCACAATGGCTGGCCTAATTTACACTCCCACCAAAAGTGTAAAAGCGTTCTTATTTCTTCACATCTTGTCCAGCATCTCTTGTCTCCTGATTTTTTAATGATCGTCATTCTAACTGACATAGTCTCACATATTTTGATGTTTTGTTACTGGACACACACACATTAAGGGCTATTGTGTCTTTTGGATAATTGACATCTGTTTCATTATGTAATGCCTCTCTTTAATGCTGATAATTGTCTTTGTTCTGAAGTTTTCTTTGTCTGTAATTAACAAGCTAATCCTACTGTTGTAATTAGCTCCAACAGTTTATTTAGTTAACTGGCTGAAACATAGACCAAAAGGTGGCTTAGGCCAAAAGATCTTGAACTGCAAGATCTGTCTTGATTTACAGTAGACATGAACTCAAAGGCTTAGGGAGACTAGAATGTTAGAGGGAATTTGTCATTTAAGACTTCACCCACCATGGGAAGGTCCAAAGGGCACACCCTGCACCTTGACCGTGAGGAACACATTTGTGAGCGGAGCCTCAGCATACAAGAAGAGCTCTGGCGTTGCTCTTCCCTGTAGGCCAGACCTTACAGTTGGAGCTGCAGATGCTGAACTGGGATACATAAATGCAATGAAAGTACTGGGATCCCAAGGGTTGCAGGGACAAAGGGAAGACACTCAACCAACAAAGCCAAGGTGGCTGCAGTTACTCTAACAGACAGCAGAGCCAAAGCAGCACTCAGAATAGGCAGACTCCTGTGGATCTATGGTGTTGGCTACTTGATCATGAAAATTCTAGAAGTGAAATTGATAGGAAGCCTACTAAATTGTTATTGATTTGTATAAGCAGGAAAGTTCAAAGTCAAGCGAACAAAAATCTAATTTGAATCATAAAAACAGAGAGCCTTGGCCCCTCAATTCTCAGACTTGAGCCAGTTTATGGACCCAGAACCCCTCGAATAAAGGGGAGACTGGGCCCCCTTGAGAAAGGACCCCAGTGCACTGTTAAAAGTATTTCTCCCAGTCTTCTCCAAAGGGACCTAAAGGCTTTCACCAGGGTAATTGTGCATTGAGGAAAAAGAAGTAATCAGACCTTTCAAGAACTTAGGACGCTAGCTCTGAACTGGCATTGATCTGTTCAGAAGCAATATTGCATTCCCAGAGAGATGGCAGAAATTAGTGCCATCATCGAGGACATGAAAGACGTGGGAATGGTGATTCTCACCGTACCCCCATTGAACTCTGCTATTTGGCCTGTGCAGAAGAAAGATAGATCTTGGAGAATAACAGTGAATTATTATAAGCTTAATGGAGAGGTGATTCCAATTGAAGCTGCTGTGCCAGATGTGGTTTCAATGCTTGAGCAAATGAACACACCTCCTGGTCCTGGGCTGCAGTCATCAGTCCGTTCCTATCCCAAATCGGGCTGGCTTCTGCTCTTGATGAGTCTGAGTACTGAGTTTACATACGAGCTCTGGAGGCATGGCAGAGAGGATGGCACCCTGGCAGCTATGGGATTGGGGGGTTAAGGGGGAGGTCTAAGATAGGGAGCTGGAGCCTCCAGGGAAAACCCAGAATGTCAGAGAGGCCACCAGCCCCACAGATGAGAGAAGCAGCCGTGGATGCCCAGCCTCAAAGAGGTGCCTGGGGTGAGAAGAAGCATGGGCTGTCCTCCTGACAAAGAATAATAGGGGGAGTCAGGGAGACAGGGCTGGAGGCAACCAACAGACAGAATGGAATCCCCTAGGATAGGCAAGGTGCCAGGAAAGATGTTGAGGGGAGGAAAGGAGCAGTCAACAGGGTGGGCAAGAGTTAGGAGTGGCAGCATTGGGCAAACCAAGCAGGGCACAGTGTTCAGGAAGAAGAGCTCTGAGAAGCAGAGAAGAGAGGTGCAGTCAGCGCTCAGTATGGAAAGAGAGGTGACAAGAGGATGCCGGGAGCTCTGCGGAAGAAGGAGGCTAGCAGGAAGGGAGGGTGGGCGAGGGAAAGGCTGGGGACAAAACCAAGGAAGCACTCTGTCTTCTGTTTCAGAGGAAAGAAACCCTGTGCCTATTTACAAGTTGAAGGGAAGAGACAAGCCAAACTGAGAGGAAGAGGCTAAGAACCCCGGGGAGGAAGGGGACTAAGGAAGAGGTGGTACACAGGGATGCCCAGCCTGGCCAGGCAGAGGAGGAATGTCCCAGTGCCGCTGGGAAATGGGAACCCTGGGGCAGTCAGGGTAAGATCTAGAGTAGTTGGGACAGACCCAAAACACCATCTTGATATCGCAAAAGCACAAAATGCATAAGGAAGGTGAGGGTGAAGGACAAAGAGATTTCAGAAACAAAGAGGATATCACTAAAAAAAAATCCACAGAGATAACGGTATTTCCATGCAGAATATTTATTGTAAATGTTTCCACTATAGCCACGTGTATAACAGCATATCCAATGTATATTTTAACAGGTAGCAACATCACCACAGGTAGCTTTGATTATGGAATCAACACTTTAACTTTCCTACACATGTACATCAAACGTGAATGGTGAAATCTACGAGTTAACCATCCTCCTTTAAACTACCTGAAAACTACCCCGTATTTCATTTTGCATTTTCTAGGCAGTATTTTTCCACACTCTTTAAAACAGATGCCGGAGCTTTGGAAGAGTGGAAATGCAAGCATTTACATACGATATGATGAGAAGTGTTTCATGATATACAAATTGATATAGTACAGGTTTTTATTGTGTAGAAAAATAAACTTACAGTGAATAAATAAACAGCTTTATATGTCAAGTTATATATGGAGTATAAAAAGTAGTTACTATAAAACATATGCATACATATTAAAATGCGTGTGTTCTACAGTACAAATATACTATATGCTTAAATATTTCACGTGACAGAATGTTATTTCATCTGTTTTCAGTTCTGTGCATTAAGATATAAGTCACAGTCGGGGTCCACCCTGGACTCTGGAGACCCTGGGATTCTCTTCCCATTCCAAGGGTAGACGCACCAGCAGAGCCTCGGCCCTCCATCCAAGGCTGACTCACACTGCAAAGACAGGACCAAGGTCAAGAGCAGCAGATGACAAGCTGACAGGGAAAGTAGAGCCACAGCTGGCCCCTTTTTCAGTGCAGCTGAGCACTGCAGAGCCAAGCCGAGAGTCCCGGCTGTGAAACCAGCTGCCCACAGTGCAGGCAAACCCAACACCCTCCTGGACAGTGGCCAAGTGGCATGTGCAGTAATGACTCCCCACACATGTTAAACAGTACAGTATGCGCACAGCTGTCTGCTTCATAGCCCGATGTCAGGGGAGCCCAACCCAGAGGGAACATGTCCCACGTGTGCCCCAGTATTCATTGCCTGTGAAGCAGGGCCTAGTCCTCAGTGTCACCCAGTAAAATCCTCAGAACCTGTACCATACTGAGGCCTAAAGCACTCCTCAACATGATGTCTTGGTCTGTTTGATCTCATTTATTATCTGCAAAGCCACAGAAATCCTGGTTTTATTAGACAGTTCCTTTACTTTTGTCAGGGAGAAAAAAGTGGAAGAGCTGTTCAAATAAATACTTGTTTGTTCCCTTCCTCTCTTGAATAGGTGAGGAACCCAAGATGCAAGCGTTAGGGCACCTAGGAAAGTTTTCCATAGCTATTAGCTCGCTGAGTGATGGAGCTCAGGCTTAGCCCCGGGGCCCCAGGTCCAGCACAGGTTTTCATCCTCTGGCTGTGACATATTGACCTAGCTGCTCCAGCTTCCCAGAGGAGTGGATCTGGCTCAATACAACCAGTTCTAGTGTCTTCTTGGGAGTGGACAGTCTTTGCCATGAATGATCATGGCTTGGCAGGCATGAAAGACAGTAGTCCCTTTCCCCTAACAAGCCACACTGGCAAGGACACCTACCTGTTTGGGGTGATAAAATCCATTCTTGTTGCAGTTTGGCAGATAAAATCTGTAAACTCGTTCTCCTGTTGACTCCTCAATCTTGGCTAAATTATCTAGGACTCTGTAAAGTTCTCTTCGGCAGGGCTCCTAAGACAATAACTTGACATGAGGATATGTAACAAGAGAAAAGTGAATTATCAGCCTAGACGACTGATGGAAGAGGTTTTATGGAAGCAGGAGTGACCCTACGATCTGGCCAAGGGGTCATGGGACTAGGTGTCAAGTGATGTGCCTCATCTGGGCCTCTTTTCTGCACCTGTGGTTAGTCTCTGCCTTGAGTTGTTCAAGTAAAGAGCAAGAACACCATTTTCTCCCTCACCAATCACTCTCTCAACCCCTGCACAGAGACATCCCCTGGCAAGAGCCTCACCAATACCACAGAACTCTTCCCACTGCCCCTGCCACCTACTGAATACTTCTGGCAGCAGCCGTTTGGCTAGAAGAAGAGTGGGCATAGCTCTTAATTAAGAATTTAGCAGAGGAGATTTCTAGATTTTGGACATCTCTACCATCTACAAGGTTATTTTACATAAACTAAACCAATTGAGGATTAAGGCATTCCTCCATTTATTGTTATTCTCAGATGAAATTCGGAAGCGTTGAGAAAATGGTTTAACCTTCCCTTTTTCTGGGTGCGCATGTTTGGAGAAGTAATTTTTTTTCTCTCAGTTGAAGTCACACCGACTTTGATTCTCTGTCGCCCTCAAGTGGTAGAATTCAGAACAGACACTAATTAAGATAATGGGGAGTTGATGTTTAATGAGCTCAGAGTTTCAGTTTGGGAAGATAAAAAGTTCTGCAGATAGATATTGGTCGGGGTTGCAGAATATTGGGCATTAATTACTATTACTTTATGCCACAGAAACCTGTGCTTTAAAATAGCTAAAACAGTACATTTTATGTTATGTCTATTTTATGACAATGTTTTTAAAGAGAGGCAGATGACACAATGGGGGTGAGAGCAGTAGGCCCTTGTACTAAGTTTTGGAACAATGTAACTCAATGCTCTGACACTCTTATTTACAGAGGAGCTCAGAGACAGGAAGTAACCTGTCATCGGGAACGACATTTTCTTTGCATCCAGGGGGCTCCTCTCCTAAAAGTCCTTGTGTTCACAGCTTGACACAGTTTGACGGAAAAAGATCCCCTAGGTTTTAGGGGAAAAGCATTTCTTTCCAGGGCCTCAGGACCAGGAAGGAGAGGACCAGGCCTGCTGTTCACAGCAGACTCGAGCTACAGCCTCTGACAGGAGAGTTCCCACCACCCACCTTCTGGGCCCCACCTTCGAATTGTTGTTGGTGATTTCGATCTCCGTCCTGCCGTCAGCCATGGAACGATCCTGTAGAGAAGAGGCAGGCCGACGGGAATTCTCTATGAGTTCCTCCCCAGGGGTATCTGTGTTATCTGGAAGCGAAACATTACAGATCCCATGAGCCCTCCCAAAGCATCTGCACCTCTCAGGCCCCCACAAGATCACTTCCTTCCCTCAAAACCAGGCTGGAACATGAGGACGGCCACGTTCCTTAACCAGATTTTCACTGACTCTCACTTTAAAGGACCTTGTAATGGTTTCCAGGAAGAGTGATGTCCCAACAGCAATGCCAGCTCTGTTCCTGACAACAGTAAGTTTCAGGGCCTGGCAAGGGTGCCCGACATTTCTGCTTTTAAAGCAGCAGGGGAGGGGAGCAGCATACACACATTTGCTGAGGCTGAGAACAACCCTAATGAAGCCAGGCGGGATTCTAGTTCAATTCTTAACAGCATTAGAGGGGAGCCTCAAAACCTCAGCTTCCCCATCCTTAAAATGGAGATTTTACTAATATCCCTGAATAGATGGTAAAGTTCATCTAGATAGAAGTGGAATCTAGAATGCAGTTCTCCTGACCCAAAGTACTACCCTCTTCTATTTTGAGGCCCCTGCCTTCCCACATCCTAAGAGACTTCGCTACAACCTCCCACCACCCTGCCAAGAGGATAGAGTCTAAAGGTGCATGAACAGAATCAGCAAACTGGCTATAAGGGATCCCCTGTAGAAATCCATCTCCTTGAGGATCAGTGAGACAACTCCATTTCATTTCCTCTAAAGGGCAGAGAATCCGCAGGAAAACCCTGTTCCCTCCTTGGAAGGGTCACTCACTCCCACACAGATTCCTGTCAGGGTATGGAAGTCCTGATTCCTCCCAGAATGGCTCAGGACGTGCCAGCAACCCAGATGAGGAGATAGGGGCTACAGCAGAGAGAGGCGTTTCCTCCACTTCCCACTGCAAACAAATCCCCGCTTAAATCCAGGAAAGAACCTGATTGTCATGTTCTTAGGGGACAACATACACATCAAACATTGTTTTTCTATGGCAATGAATGGAAGTGAAGCTTTCAGCCTCAACTCTCACATTATGTTCTGTAAACATCTGGGAAGCACATATTGTATCCAGGACGTATATTACAAAGGACATTCCAGACACCTCCTGGGGAGGCCAGCAGGAGGGATTCCCTTCTTAGGCCTTCCCGGATGCTCCAGCCGCTGGAGCTGCCCACGTGCTGGCAGGGAGACTGGTGGGGGGTCCCAGGGTAGCACCCCAACTGCTGCAGAGGCAGCCCCCCCCCCCCCCCCCCCCCCCCGCTCTTGCTGCCTGGGTCTCTAAGGCTCACTGGACTACCAGGGCCAAGTATGAGCTTCCTCTTTGAGTCTCCACCAAGCTGTGTGCGCCCTGGAACTTCTTCCTTCTTCTCCCGGGGCATGTCCTGTCAAGACCATGCAATGATCGGTCTCCACTGGGTGACACAAGCTCCTTCCCCAGCTACGTGCTCTGGTTTCAAGCTCTAGCTGTGGTCAAACCCGCGCAGGTTCCAGCCCCACTCAGCAGTTAGGGGAGTGGGCACAGCAGGTGCCAGCAGGGCAGGCGGTACCGGGCGGGGACGGGACTGTGGTACCTGTAGCATCGGCTTTGGCAGAGTTCTGAATGCAGACGCCCTTGCCGAGGATGAGGGAGCGCAGCGGTTTCTTCTCCCCTGGCAGCGGTTGGCAAGTGAGTCCCCGGGCGCAGCGTGCAGTTTTCACGCCGCACGATTCTCCCAGAGTCAGGGCGCACACCGGGCAGCAGTCGCAGCTGGCGTACCGGGTGACCTCCAGGCACGTGTCGGGCACCGGATCGCAGTTCGTGAGCTTCTCGGGGGGGCAGGGCTCACACTGCCACCGAGCGCCGGCTGTCACCTGGGCAGTCAGCAGGAGGAGGACCGGCCAGACGCCGGCAGCGAGGACCTCTAACATCTCCAGGCGGGGGCGGCAGACCCAGCAGACGCTCTCTGGGAGGGTGGCGCGGAGGCAGATGCTCGCTGGATGGGATGCCAGTGGCCAATGCTCGCTGGACACAGCGCGCGCCTTATAAAGGACACAGGTGACGCCACTTGCACCAAGAGGTTAATGATTGGCAGCGCGGCGCGCTAGGAGCTGGGTGTTCAAAATAAGTTTGTTTTGCTTGTGCGCCCAAGGCCCTACGCAAACTTTCGGTGGGAGGAGGGTAAACGGTTTTGATTTCAGACTGTTTGTCCTGTTGTTAGGGGGTTCAGGCCCTGAGTTAAAGTCCAGTTCTAAGAAACGCACAGCTGGGAGGGGGATGGCGTTTGTTTTTGCTAAAAACACAGCCCAGGCCTAGCTGGCCAGGCTTTTTAATTGACACAGAGAAAGTAACATCAGCCCACCCAGCAGTTCTCAAATGCAGAAACCAAGGCCCTGAGTGAGGAAAGAGATGGGGTTAGAATCCACCTCTCTGCAAGCCCTAGCAGGTTGTCTGTGGAAAAGCCTAGAACTGCTTCTCTTTCTGCAGGGGGAAATAAAAGCCTCCAACCTATTAAAAAAAAAAAAATCACAGTTCATCCTAGGGCTCCACCAAGCTCCCCAATCTCACTCTACCTCCAAGAGCCTTTCAGCTCTCTAGAGGGGCAGTTAAGAAGGTCTACCAAGGATTCGTTACCAGTGAGCCAAGACCCCAGGGCACCCGTGACTTTCCAGCATAGGTCAGATATTTATCAGTAGCAAATGCAAAGGTTTTCTCTTTAAAATTCTCATTTCTTGGATATTCTTTCACAGGAAAGAAGTTACAAGATAAAAAATCTTTCAAAGAAAGTCAGAAACAGGCTCATCTCCAGGAGCTGCAGGCTCTCCCCAGCACCCTCTCCGTGGCCTTCCAGTGGAGAGCTGTGATCAGGGAGTGTGCCACGCTCCAGGCCTGCCCCTTGGCCACTTCTGTGAACCCCAAACCCCACATTTTCCCACCCACCTGCCACCATCTTTGCCTCCCATTCCAGGCACAGGTTCAGGGCTTACCCCACCTCCAAGCCTGGGTCTCCTGTCGTCCCTTCAGGTTCTTTAGGAGTGGTGTTGCCAAACTGGGAAATTGGAGGTGGCTTTTCCAGCCCCTTGCTTTACAGAGGAGAACACTGAGGCCAGAGAAGGAATGATATTGCCAGGTCAAAGTCACAGAGACTACAATGGTGCATCCTGGACAAGAATTCACATTTCTGATGCCCAACCGTTTACCGTAAGCAAGCCCTAAGCAAATGCCTTTCTCGGTAATCTGGCTAAAACGCTCTAAAACAGCAGAGCATTGCTGAAACATCTCAAGTGACAGTCATTCTTACATTCAAGGAAATGACCCCTGCTGCTTCCTTTAGGGCAGGTGTAAATAATAAGTGCCCTGAAATTCTGAAGCTGGGCTAGAGAGGTCTGTGCGAACGATGCCATGCTCAGCCATTTGTCCTACAGATGATGAGACGGACATGAGAGACCATTTTACACTTACGTGAAAAAATACATGAGCCAATCTCTATTCTGTGGTCATACTGCAAACCACTTAAACGCCCATCTCTAGGTGCTGGATACGTAAACCCTGGGGCGTCCTTCCATTGGAAGATAGACAGCCATCAACAAGAAAGAGCAACTCTGATTTTCTGATAGAGAAAAATCTCTAAAATAAGTAAAGTGATTCAACTTAAGTAAAATCTCCTAGCTAAGTACAAATGAGAAAGTACAGAATGTGGTTCTATTTGTGTACAATAAAAGTAAGATGAATGTATGTGATGGATTCTACATTTACTGAATGTCTTGAGAGGAATACATAAGAAATTAATCGCAATGCCTTCTTGTGGGTGGTGGTGAAAAATGGGACAGAGGGACAGACTGGTTTTCCTCACATACCCTTTTTTAATCTTCTGAATTTGTAAATGTACTTAAACTGTCTATAACATTGTCCATCTAAAGAATAACCGAGCCGGCCAGGCGTGGTGGCTCATGCCTATAATCCCAGTACTTTGGGAGGCTGAGGCGGGTGGATCACGAGGTCAAGAGATCGAGACCATCCTGGTCAACATGGTGAAACCCCGTCTCTACTAAAAATACAAAATTTAGCTGGGCGTGGTAGCGCATGCCTGTAGTCCCAGCTACTCAGGAGGCTGAGGCAGGAGAATTGCTTGAACCTAGGAGGTAGAAGCTGCAGTGAGCCGAATTTGCGCCATTGCACTCCAGCCGGGCAACAAGTTCGAAACTCCATCTCAAAAAAAAAAAAAAAAAAAAAAAAAAAAAAAAAAAAAAAAAGAATAACCGAGTCAAAATTAATCGATGACCTCTTTTTCTCACCACTTTCCTGTTTCTATGGCCTTCAGGAAGTGACTTGGATTTGCCAAGCTGGCGTTTGTTCTACCTGTAAAGTCTCTAAAGAGTAATGCCTCTAGGGTCTCCTGCAGCAATCAAAATACCGTCAGTGAGGTCATTGAAGTAGGAAGTTTATAATTCTTTGTCATTATTTTTTTTTTTACAGAGTAGAGTTTGGTGTTTAGTAAAGGATCTGACCAACGGTTTTGAATTTTTTGACATTATTTTTAGGGTCGATCCCTAAGCAATTTCATTTCCGGAAGAAGATTGTGTGCTCCGGATTTTCTTTCTGACTTCCTTAGCTTGCAATCAGTGCCCACACTTGAATGTTTTCTTAATAATAAAGAGGCAATTCTCTGGTAAATATTTGGAGGCCATGTGTGCTAGGCAGTGCACTCGGCCCTGGACAGTTGTGTACTTGCTCAGTGTTCATCCCACCCGTCCTCCCTGAGGTCTCATTTGTCCTGCACGTAGTGGAAATTCCTACCCCCAAGGATCGATTGCCCAAATGTTTCCCTTGCTTGCCTCACAGTGATAGCAAACCAAACAGCCCCCGAATCGAGACAGAGCTCTCCTACTCCTGACCCTCTGTCAACACAGATGGAGCCAGACCCCTCTCTCCCGGTCTGTGTAGGCCATCTGTCCATCCGTCCATCCTGTGTGGGAGTGAGCTGCCCTGCCCTGGCAGGTCAGAGTCACAGGCCCCACTGCCCCCCGGCAGGGGTCACAGCCTGGCCTGTCTTTGGTGCCCTGACTCTCATGGCTGGCTGGGCAAGCTGGGGAAGCACCCAAGGGAGACATGAAAAGAGGTGCACCTCTCAGCTCTGTGGAATGCAGGGTAGCCCTCGGAGAGAGGCCTCCTGACCTACTGCACCTCAGCCTCAGCTGGACTGACACTAGCCCCATGACTTTGGTCTTACTGATCTCATTGCCTGAATTTCCATCACCCTATCATGCTCATCAAGTCCATGGTCTCTTCCATCCGTCCCAGAAGCTCTTTCTTTCAGGACTCTATGCTGACATCCCCGACCTCCAGCAGCCGCCCCCTCAGAGTGAATTGCTCTTTTTTCCAGCTTTCCAGCTTCTCCATCTCAAGCTCTCAAGCTTCTGTCTGCATTCTTTGCCTCACCCAACAGTGGCTGCAGGGGGGAAGGGTACCCTTCCAATGTGGGGCAGGTACGGAGCTAGGTGATGAGATGCCTTACACTGAGCCCCAGTATTGCCCCCTTCTAGCAGGAGGGTGTTCTGTCAAGGGCTACTTGCAACCTTAGGATAAATGAGGTAGGAAGAGACAGCAGGTCTATTCATGTCTGACAACATCTCCATAAGCTGCTGGCCATGGCTGGTTTTGGAGGGTAAGTGGGCTTCTCCTAACCCGCAAAGGATGGGGTGTGCAATGTGAGGGAACAGAGATGGTGGTGGGGTGATAGCAGGCAGCTGGGAAGAGTGCAGTGTGTTTAGGTAAGAGCCAGTAGTCCTTCCTCCCTGGGAGCTGGAATAACAGGCAGGAGTGACAGGGGAGCAGCCAGGGGAGCAGGCACAAAGAGACCTGGAGGCTGTGCAAAGGGGTTTAGGCTCCTCGTTAGGGCAGCAGGCCACCACCACAGAGGTATAAGCAGGCTAAGAGAGCGGGCATCCTTCCAAAGGAGGTTCTGAGTCAGGCACAGCGGCTCAGGCCTATAATTCCAACGCTGGGAGGATGGTGTGGAAGAATCGTTTGTGGCCAGGAATTTGAGACCAGCCTGGGTGACAAAGCACGACCCTGTCTGTACAAAAATAAAAATAACTGGCCAGGCGTGGTGGCACATGACTGTAGTCCCAGCTGCTCAGGAGGCTGAGGTGAGAAGATCACTTGAACCCCGGAGTTTGAGGCCGCAATGAACTATGATTGCACCACTGCACTCCAGCCTCAATGGCAGAGTGAGACCCTGTCTAAAGAAAGGGGGGGGGGGATAGAAAGAAAGAAAGAATGGAAGAAAGGCAGGAAGGAGAGGAAGGAAGGAAGGGAGGGAGGGAGGGAGGAAGGAAGGAGGGAGGGAGGGAAGGAAGGAAGGAAGGGAAGAAGGAAGGTTCTGAAAGATCATCAGGAGGGAGCAGGGGCCTGGGGACCCCTTACTCCTCCACCCTTCCTATCAGCAGCCCGACACCCAGACAGAAGCTGAGGGTCAGCCGTGAAGGAGGCAGAGCCTTACCCTCAAAGATCTAGAGGAGGAAAAACAGTAAACAAATACTTTAACATATGCACTGCAGATTGTGATTAATGCATGACAGGAAGAAAAGAACATCAAGAAGGGGAATATGGAATGACGCTTCAGATGGGACGGCCCACATAGCCACCAAAACGGGTGACAGGAAGAGCTGGAGACAGATAAGGAAGGCCAGAGAGCAGGAGACGAGGTCCATGCCCTGGCTCAAGGCCCCTTGGACTTCCTGGAGCCACCTACACAACCGTGCACTTCCGTATGGCCTTTGGGAGTCATCATCTACTCTAAGGGGACTTTGACATGCTACTGTTCCTTCCTCCTATGACCCTTTCTCCATCTCCGGGGACCCACCATAAATGTCTTGCCTCTGCACAGCCTGATTTCGGTGGCCCCCTGTATGTGCCTGAAACCTGATGTCACATTGGGTTATACTCATGCTGAAGAGCTAAAATAAACACCTATCTGTGTGTGTGTGTGTGTGTGTGTGTGTGTGTGTGTGTGTGTGTGTCTCACCAGATTTAGTGAAC